TGAATGAATGAATGAATGAATGAATGAATGAATGAATGAATGAATGAATAGTTGAAGAGATTACAAGCCTCTCATTTGGAGCAAACTGTTTGAGAGCAAGATACCTTGACAACCTCTCTCATCACAAGTTTAAATAGAAGCAAAAAATGGAAAATCAGGACTTTGTTTGGCACTGCCCCCAAAGACAGTCCCCTCTTGAATAACATTTTAGGCCACCTGCAAGTGGTCAAAACTTCAATCTTCAGTGTGGTCACAAAGTACCAAAAACTCAGTCCCAAGCACAATAGGGTTTGGTGTTCACCATTGGTCTAAATAAGCAGTTCTCCTCAGATAAGAAGAAAAACCCTGGAACAGAGACAGAGATCATAGTCCTGCCCCTATTTGTCCACTGGGGTTTCCAAGCAGAGGAAGATACTCTAGAAGTTGTGGAGTCCTTGCGATTCTCTGAGCTTGGTGGTTTTCTTGCAAACGTTTTGTTTTCTTGCAAATGTTTCTTTAGCTGGCTAGGTAACATCTTCAGTGCACTGAAGATGTTACCTAGCCAGGTAACGAAACTTTGCAAGAAAACCACCAAGCTCAGAGAACCCCAAGGACTCCACAGTTTAACCCTGAGCTACGCATATTCGCTTCTATTGGTACTCTAGAAGTTGAAGACATATGTGAAAGTGGCAGCTAGTAAAAGCAAGATGCAAGGTTGTTGTTATATTAAGATTAAAAATACATGATAACAATATGCATGCAGTGATTATCTACTTACCACTGAAGGGTTTGCGTTTGCCATCACCAAAAACACTCCTGCTTGTTCTGCAAAGGAAATCCACATCTTTGATCCATTGATGATATAGTAATCCCCTTGCCTTTCAGCACGAGTCTTCATGGAAAAGGCATCACTGCCAAATTCTGGTTCACTAATGCAGATGCTGCCCATCTATCATTTAAGATAGCCAGAGAGACAGTTTGGTCTAGTGGTTAAGGCACCAGGCTAGAAAGCAGGAGACTGAGAGTTCTAGTCCCGCCTTAGGCATGAAAGCCAGTGGGGTAATTTTGGGCCAGTCTCTCTCTCTCTCAGCGCAACTGACCTCACAGGGTTGTTGTTGTGGGGAAAATAGGAGGATGAAGGAGTATTAGGTATGTTCATCACTTTGAGTTATTTATAAAAATAATAAAGGTAGGATAAAAAAAAATCTAAAAAAAAGAGATATAGTTGTCAAGTCATTCCATCATACAATGACATTGAGAATGTAGGTTTGGCAAAGTAATCAGGGGAATCCTTCTTTCTATGGTGTTGGCCTTGAAGTAGATCAAGACAAATTGTAAAATACAGAGGCAAGGGCTTGGTTACTACTGGCACAATTAGCCATTGATATAATGATAAAGGCAAGTGGGCAATCAAGAGACACATTTGAAAAGTTCTCTTTTTAAAATAGTTGTGAAGGATATGTTATTCAACTGTAATTAGCCATGCTATCTTTTCTATTTTACATATATGATATTTACTGCATGCTTTGATAATTTCAAAACTATTAATTTAAACTACAACTAAACTTTGATGTGTAACATCAAAGATGCTCTCTCCTAGTCTTTTTAAATAATATTAATGTTTTTTTACTATGGAATAATGTTTAATGTTTTTTTATGGGCTGTTTTTATTGTACACCACCCACAGTCACATTCATGAGAAGGGCGGCTATATAAAGGTGATGAATAAATAAATAATTGAAATTAATATTTAATTTAAAAACGTTTAACAGTAACGTATCAGATTGTTCTTTATAACTTCTTATTGTGAACCACTAGATTGACCTTGGTTTTCCTCTCAATGAAATACAGTATAATTTTGAACTGCAGAATTTACAACCATCCCAGACGTCAAAAGATCTACGTAAGAGATTGTTTTAAAACACAAAGATTTAATATCTAATAAATCAATAGCAACTCTATACAAGCCCAAGTGTGTATATGTTAACGCTAACTTGAATCTCACAGTGTTCCAATGTAACCTGACTGGAGACTGGGATCTTTATTTCATAGTAATAGTAATAATACTCACCCACTAGTAATAGTAGGTAAGCTACTGCAAACTTTGTAAATCTATATTTAACATAGTCATCAGTATATTTCACCTACCGTGTCTTTTGCCAGCCTGGGCAAATAAGTTCTCTTTTGTTCTTCTGTGCCATATGTTGTAAATATTTTATTAATGAAAGTATTTTGGAGTTCGCATGCAAGTGATACAGATGGATCAACTTTGGCTAACTCCTCAATTACCAGAATGGAAGAAAAGAAAGAAGATCCAGTTCCTCCATATTCTGCTTCAAGCTCAATACCCATTAACTGATAAAAAGAGAATAAATTATTGTTATGGAGAAGAAAAGTGTACAAATTGAGATTTACACCCGAATATCAAAAATTCAAGTTGAAGCTAGAGCTACTGACTTCAAAATGAACTTCCCTGTAATTCCACAATTACTGATTACTTGGGATTAAATCTATAAAGTCAGTGGAATCTTAGGTAGCAGACCTTGGAATCAGTGATATATAAAACATGGTTGTTGATTGTGAGATCTCATTTTATTAAAGAATAATCAAAATGCTTGTTGTCTATAACACATGTATCTCCCCAAAATCTATTTCCATTGCTAAATTGTCTATCTTTTTAAAGTAAAAGATAAAGAGTAAAATCTATAGGAAAAAATGAATGAAAACTAGCAATCTACCCCAATGTGCACTTAGTAATGATGATAATTCATTTTTAGATCACAATGCTCTATAATAGACCATTTATTATAGCTAACAATTAAACTATATACATACATAGAGCTTAAATAAAACCCAGCATCTTCACATCATAGTTAAAGCTGAAAAAGAAATTTAAGTAATTTTAAGCATAAAAAAGAATGGTACGAACCCCTTGTCCAAATAGGTCTTGGAGTAAAGAATCATCCAATTTTGCATCAGCGTCCATTTTTTGTACTAATGGAACAACTCGCTCTTGAGCAAATTTTTTTACTGGACAAAAGAGACAAGGATATAAAGGAGGCAAGATTTAATATATTTATATACATACAGTATTTAAATGGCAGACAATACATTACACATACCCCCAAGTTGAGGGATGCAAGCAAAAATATGTTGGCTTGTAAGCCAGTCTCTAGATTAAAGATCCTAGCTTGCATAGAATAGTGTGAACATGCCAGGGATAAAACTGAACTTTGGTTCTGCTTGTGTCATATTGGCCAAAATGTTCCAAAACTGACCAGTATTGTTCTTACAGTTAGCTGGGAAAGCTGCATGTGGCACAGCTGGGAGCCTAGTTTATGCCTTTTTTTATTATTTGAAAGCTCACTTGACCAAAGCCATGATGGATGGGGGAAATCAATATTAATGTACCACTTTGGTGTTAGCCATAGTATATGCAAGACTGCAACTCAGCACGTAAAAGGAATGAATGGTAAAGAAATGAAAGAAATGGAGAGAGAGAGGGAGGGAGGACAGACAATTGTGTTGTGTATCTGTGAAACTAAGAGAAAGAGGAAGGAACTGAATGGCTGAATGAAGGTAGTCTGATTTTGTGGAGCAGAATTGATGAATACATGCAGGGAAGTGAAGGTGAAGATTTAATTAGGAATGAAAGGACTAAAGTGTATGTCACAAAGTATGAATTGGTGTTATCAAATTTTATGGCCATCCACACAAGTAAGAATCCACTGATAACAGAAGAACTAGAGATAACTTCTGAAAAAAACCTGAAATATTCTGAATTAATGTTATTAATTCAATCCCCTTAATTAATACAATTCAGGGGAAAAAAACATTCTGACATAAATCGATGGGTGGGAACAAGGCAAGAGTGTGCAAAAACAATGACTGGTGATTTATAAACCCAATAATGGATACCATGGGGAATGCTGGTGAGTATCTCTTAAGAAAAAGGTTTATTTTGAAGGTTTATCATAAATCTATTCCTACATATACAAAATAAAATAAATATAAATCAAAAACCATCATTTGGTTGTTTATGATGAACATGTGAGAGAATTAGTGAAGGATACAAGGGTGATGAGAGGTTCTGAATGTGGGAGAGACATTTTTTTCACAGTGTCTACAATGAATCTTAGGGAAAATGGACATGGAGAAAAAAAAATATGAAAGAAATAAGAATGAAAGTAGAACAAGTAAAGGAAGAGAAAGCACAAGTATAGGAAACCACATTAAACTATAGCTTAATTTCCCAATAGGTATGAATGGAAAATAGCTGCAAGAAAAGAGTATAAGAAAGCTGCTTGAAACAAAATGAAAAGAGTTACATTACAGAGTGCCACAGATGTGTGTGGAGCTTCACTAGGGGGAAATATAAAGAAAGACGCTTGGTGGAATGATGAAGTGGATGAAGAGAAGAAAAAAAAGCATATAAGAGAATGAAAATGAGGATAGTAGAAGCTCAATAGTATTTCTCAATAGCTATATTGAGAAAAAGAACACAGTTAAAAGGGAAAGGAATACTTAAAATTAAGAAAGGCATAGAAAATGTAGAGTAATTTTTGTGAAAATAAATTGTTTTAGAACAGAGTTTAAAACAAAAGTGATAAAATGAGTTGGGATGAAACTAAACTGAGGAAATTCTGGAAGGAGCATAGGGCTTGGTTATTTGAGGGACCACCTGTCTCCGTGTGTTTTCACTGCCGGATCAGGTCAGCTACAGAGGCCACACTCCAGTTCCCCTTAATTTAACAGTGTCATCTTGCAGGACCTAGGAGATGTACCTTCTTGGTGATGGTTCTTGCCCTGTGGAACAATATCCCCCCCCCCCCCAGATTCATACTGCTCCCACCCTACTGACTTTCCACACACTGCTTAAGAACTGGATGTTCTCCCAGGCCCTGACCTATAATGGTGTTGAGCCTCTTCAGTTAATTATTAGCTGCTTGGCTTTGGGGTTTTGGTTTCTGGCCAGCTATCTTTTTTCTTCCATAAACTTCACTTTCTTTTAATTTTTATCTGAAAGCTGCCCAGAGTTGCTATGGAGTCAGGTAGCCTTGAAATGTAAATAATAGATAGATATTTTTATAGGAATTACTGTGTGGAAGGTAATTTTATGCCAGGATAGGAACACACAAGCCAGATTTTTCTTCTCTCTTCAAATCACTGAAAATGTATAAATGTGAGAACCAATAAATGTTGGTTGCTGAATGTAATAAGTACAGGATAGAACTAAAATATGTGAAAATAAATAGAAATCTTAATGAATGGTTCAATATGAAACAGAAAGTTGGATAAGGATATGTGATGTCCCCTTGGTAGTTTAATATATTTATGTATAAATATAGAAGAATGTTCATGGTGATATTTCCTTTTCTTATTTCATACCTTTAGTTTCTTTTGCATACTTGTATTTCTTATATCCTTTCTGCAGTTTGTTGAATACTGTTTACTTCAAAAGGGAATAGTATCATAGATATGCATGTATTTAAATGGTTATCTTTACAAGATGTTGTGAAGTTAAGTGCAAATTTTAAAAGCATTAATGGCTATATAGAGCTTCACTAAATTTACTTTTCTAACATAGTTGTCTAACATGGACGACGCTATATTGGGGGAAACATGTACATGGACTTTTCAATAAAAAATAAAAAAGGTGTTCTTAAAATGAGCAATATATATAATAAGCAATAGCAAAGAAGAACTGAATGTGTTGCACTCATATTATCAGCATACTCTTTAGCATAAACAATCCAATATTATGTCCTTCAGATTTTCAGAGACTGTTTGCATAATATCCAGGTCGGAGAAAATATTTCACAAAGGATACCCTTTCACAAGCTGTGTTATTATTTTTTATTTATTTATATTTCAAATTTAGATACCGCCCATCTCACAAAAAGTGACTCTGGGTGGTTACAAATGCTGGATTTAGACTATTTCCCCATTAGGTACTTACGTAATCTAGAATTAGATATCCATCACTGAGATTTGGTAAAATCTATTCTTGTTACTGTTATATCAGAACAATGATAGTTGGATGACTCTAGAAGATGTTTAAGCCACTAGTGGGGATCCTGCCAAATTTAGAGAGGATTTTGCTGAAAGAATTTGAACTGGCTTAATTACACTGGACACATTACCTGTTTCTTTAATCATTAACTCCTCTTCTGTAAATGTCTGAAGTGGAGCACAAGTCAATCCTTCTTTGACTATGTGCGGTGAAGCTTTTGATTTGAAAGATTTAAAGAGACAAGAATGAGTCATCCAATGATTTATGCAGAGAGGCATATTCCACCTTGGCTATGGATAAAAACATTTTAAAATGAAGAAAAAAAGAAAATACTTAGAATTAAGGGCAGATTTACCAAAGAAAATCTAAACAATCACATTTCGTTATACCTCTAATTTGTTCTCCATGGCTGTGCTGTAGAATATGTATAATCCTTAAAAAATATGGGCACTATTATATTTATTTTAAAAGGTACTGAAAAAATACCTTGATCCTAAGATAACTGTGTATTTTTCTTTATGCTTTTTACTTCATTCACCATCTGATTATCTTGCTTAAGTCTATGAAAATAAATTAGAGTTCCTCAGTGAACTGAATGAACAAAAGGCTCAACATCACTCTTAAGATGAGACTTATAATGAAATCTTGAGCTTGTTTACTCAGAATTAGGTCTGCATCCAATAGGGCTTAAGTAAGTGCGCTACTGCAAGTCTCGCTTTTGCAATTAATGAAAAATGGCAATGTATTATCGAATACAATATATGCATGTGACCGTGCCAATGTGGCATATGCTTAAAGCTTCAGATTCTTTTCTCACTGTGAAAAAGGCACTGGAGAGAATTTACTCTCATTTCAAGGCTGTATCAACCAAATCAAAAATATTCCTGAACCTTTAATATATGTGCAAAAGGGGACATTTCAGCAAGTGTACCTCTATGAAAATACAGCATAAAAATACAGAAGCTCTGACATTCCTTTCATCCTGCTACCCTTCTTGTAGTTTCTCATTCATTCCTCACCTCCAACATCAATACATTCTTAATTTTAAAAGGTGACAATGCTTTAATATCACCTGAAAACTGCAGCCTCGGGACAGAAAGCTGTGGACTGCAACCAAACGCGGCCGTGCCTTAGAGTAAACCCCGTGATATGAATAGCAAGTTAGGTCTAATTTTACTTTCACTGACTGTAGTAAGTTTACTCTAAACATGCCCCAGTCTGGATTTTCAACTGTTCACATGCTCCCTCCAACAGTTACTACTCCTTGGCAGGGTTCACGCATTGCTCTAAGCAATAAACTACGCGCTGCAAGCCACAATGTTTCCACTCACACAACACCCTAAGCCAAAATAGCTGGCTTAGTGTTAAGTATCAGAATCTCAGTCTCTCCGCAGGTAAAACTGGCTTCAAAATTTCATCCTTTCGTTCCCATTGCAGGGCATATATTTGTCTTTTTCACTCTACTCGGACCAGGAACATTTCTCCCATCACCTCGTCATTTTAACATCTGGATATGCCAGGCACCGAGCGCGAGGCTTCTCCATGTTTAAAGTTGAGCTCTGCCACGGAGCCAGCAACGGCGGCAGCTCTTCGCATCTGGTCCTACGAAGTTTTACAGTCACTTACTTTTCTGCCGCATCTCAACAAAGACAAAGCTCCAGCCGCTACCATCGTTGACACCTAAGCAATTTCGCAACCGCCACTCCCCAACTCGCCCTCTCCCGTCTTGTCCCGCCTCTCCACCTCACAAGGTTAGATAACCACAGATTTGCATGAGGAACTCAAAGAGACTCTCAAACAAGAGGTGGTGATGGTGCTTTCACTTCTGGTTCCCGTCAGAATCCACCATCTGCGGGGCAAGAGGGATGGATGCTCCACTCCACTCACTTCATCCTTTCCCGAGGAAACCCTGCCATCTGCTCAGCGACGAACTTTTGCTTAAAATTATGCTCAGGTAGACAGTGTTATGCCGACCCAAATGGCTGGTTATTCCGTTCTTCTCCCGCACTCTCCGGAGCACTATCTGCGCTTGAGAACCGGAAACTTTTATAACAATCATGAAGCAAGTGAACTCTTTGGGAATATCCTTCTGCAAGACCTTTCCCTGCCGAGCGGGGCACGCGTCGCACCGAACTCTCGCGGGACTTCGTTAAGGAGAAGCGATGGGTTACGTTTAGCTCCGGGAGACACAACAAACATGGAGGCGGTAGCGACGGGAGTTGAGGGCCCAGGTGGCTGCAAAGTGCAGCGGCGGTGAGTCAGGGAAGGCTGTGTCGTGCTCCTTGTTCCGGGACTTTTCTTTCCTCCCTCGTTCTCTGCCACTGGTGAATTTCAGAGCGTGGGAGAGGCATTAGCACAACCTACCTTCTTGCGGCTGGCGGGCAGGTAGCAAGTCAAGGGCAAAAGGCTCGTGTCCGGGAGGCGCCTTGTAGAGTCTCTTACATCCGTGGGCAAAGGACGCTGCTGCTCCCGGGATGAGTTTGGAGTGTGGCTTTTAAAGGGGTCCGGGAGGAAAGCGGCCAGCTACGGAAGCTTGCCTCGCCTCGTCGCGCAAAAGAGAATCTCGGCAGCTCGTCGAGCCCCTGAAGCGAGGAAAGCTGAAGGTCCCTTTCCCTTCAGCTGTAAGGCAGGCCCTCCCATTCTCTGTTGAACCTCGGCGCCCGGGTGACCATCCCAGGACTGCATTCCTGGGAGCCGAGGGAGAAAGTGCCCAACTTTGGAGGGGGCAAGTCTGCTGCTGCCAAAACTTAAATCCTGGAGAGTAGCAAACGTTGAGGAGGCTCCCAGGAATGCTTTTCCTTTTCTTCTCGCGCTGCCGTGGCTCTCCAGGCTCTGCAAGGAGTGCAGGAACGTCTCCAATTTGTGTTAATAGAAAGGAGTGCGTGGTGTGTCTGAGGTGATTAAAATGTGTGTGTGAAAGTGAAGGTCTGGTGATCCAAGAAAAAGGGCCTGTGTAAATGGCTTGTCAGTAGGAAATGGGAACTAAAAAGGTATATGAAGCCACAGTGGTAAAAGGATTGGCTGAAAATTCACTTTTGCAGAGTGGGAAAGGGGGATAAAGAAGAATGATGGAGAATATGCACTTCAGCTGAATACTCAGCCTTTGAAATGTTGGTAGAGAACACCATGTAGCTTTGTACTCAACACATAGTCTAGTTGGGAGCTAAGCCAAAAGGGAAAGTATGTGGTGATCTTAGCAATGAGAATAGAAGAAATAGGAAGTTTAGCAAATAAATGTTTGTAGAGTAGAGTAAGGTAGAAAAGCAGCAAGCCAGTTTTTGTGTGGGCCTGAAGAAAGGAAGGCCAGAGACTAAGCAAACCATAGACCAGGCCTTTGGAGTTCTGGTGAGTGAAAAATCTGTGTTCTATTCCAACTGCCTACTGACCCCCCATACTGTCTCCCCAGCTTTTATGTACAGTAATTATATGAAAGTGACAGTACCCATAACTGCATAGAATTACACAGGCAAAGTAACTGAATGGGTGCTGGCAAATGAAGTGTTCTTTTCTAACAGGGTTGTGCATAATTCATACTGCGTCACTCTACATTACTGATCGATCTAAGGAGTGAAGCTGCAGAAGGTTCTTCAGTTTCATATCTTTTCAAGCTTTGTTGAGGGAACTGGGCTAAGTGTCACCAATAAGGGTAAGAATGACAGTTATTAGGGCTGTGCAAATCAGTAGAGGAGAATATGTGTAGCTCCGGGTTGAATGGTGGAGTCCTTGGGGTTCTCTGAGCTTGGTTGTTTTCTTGTAAATGTTTCGTTATCCAGCTAGGTAACATCTTCAGTGCTAGAATG